CTCACTAACATATCTTCAGAAATTCCAAAAGTTCGAAAATTTATAGCCATTTTTAAAAATATTTCTTTTATACATAACGAAATTTATCATGTCAAGCTATAAGAATCTACATAAAATTTTATATTCAATTTATATTCCTTCTAAACTATTTTTATTTTCATTAAAGTCCGGGCACAGCACTCGGATAAGTAACTTGGACTATTTAAACTAAGAAATCTGGTTAGCAATTCCACTATTCTGAATGTGTAACACCCAAAAGAAAACAGACGAAATGGTACAAAAATTGAACATTTAAACACCGAACACTTTAATGACGTAAACGTATTTAGAAAAAAACTAAGACAGTTTTTCACTAACTTTTCAGTCTGTACGCAATGAAAAATTGTATTCTAATTTATTTAAAATATTACAATTAACATCGACTCTCACCACTTTCTCTAACTCACTAAATCCTTTAATGTACATAATTAAATTGAAGTTGCTATTCGGGGAATTGTCCTCCCGTATTAGTCTAGTTGATTTCAATGCTTAGAAAACTAATCGCTTACATCAAGCATACTGATCTGAATCATTCTGCAGATCACAAAGCGCGTGACTGATGCTCATCAGCGAAGACGAGCACGGAGAGTTGCATGTCAGAACCGAGCCTCTGGGAGGAACTTATCTCTCAGTGCATCTTGAACAGCAGAGACCTTCCAGCCCACCAGAGCAGCCCACGAGTACGAATATTGTCACTCGCGGTCCATGCCCTATGCACGGGAAGAGGATCATTGAGGACATCGCAGATAATCATGGGGTTTGAGAAGCAATTTTTCAATGTGGATAGCAGGAACAAGCCAAGCACATTAAAAAGACATATTTTCGGGATTATCAGGTGTATTTATTTCAACTAAGAAGCGTGTAACATAATTTTATTTTCACTAAGTGTCAATAAAATGGTTGAAAAATATCTTCAAGTGAGAATGCTGTCCGCGCATCATAGTAATCGGAGAAATAACAGAATTTATTGCTAAAAAATCTAGTAATCTAAATCTTATAACGAATATTGGATTCCTGATCAACACCAGAGACAGGATTTGATGATCTAAAAGCCACCCAAATATGGGCCAAAATGTCTAAAATTCTGGAAAAATGCCGTCATGATTATTACTTTTATTATCAAAAATGACGTACAAAAAATTCATGTGATATAATATCTATTTACATCCATATGATAAACTGTCTAATGTTTTATAATTGTAATAATAATTATTCAAGACGGTTTTATTCTTCGAGTTTAAAATTGATAAAGCATTTTAAACAAGCCATACCAAACAGATCACTTTATTCTATTACACTTTTGTCATCTTTTATTGTTACCATTATGCTGTAGAAAGCTCCAATTCATATTGATATTTTGGATAATTAAATTTTCAGTTGCAATATTTTTCAAATAATTTTTGTCAATTTAAAAAAAATCCCGATTTTCAGGTACGCGACTTTTGTAGAGTAATAAACTAGAGTATTAGATGATGCAACAGGAGAATATTTAGAAAACTGAATATAACTTGTATTTAACACTATTATTGTATTTAAGTGAACACACAAAATTGCCCGAAAAAATAATCGACTGAACTTTCAATAAGTATTTCTGAAAACTTCTACTGATAAGGTGATGACAAACTACCAATGGAAGAAATAATTGTATATTTAAACATAAAGACAACATTAAAATGGATTTAATTTGTAATAATACAATTGAGCAATCAATTATCTAAAAATTCCAAAATTGTCAAATATGTCATTTCAACCTGAAACGAACAAAAAATTCAAAACAAATACATCTTGAAAGCTTTAAATAATTGTGAAATATGTTATAGCGAAATAAGAAGTGTTTTGAAAGAAGGTAAAAATGTAAAAAATATCACCAAATTACTATCCCTATCATCACATAAAAGAGAGTCGAATTAGAACTAGAAGATAAACATCGACAACAAGAATGCTAAAGAGACAAGTTTATTAAAAAAGAGATAAACAATAATCTTCGAAAAAAATCTCAACAAAATTAAAGGACTGTAAACATTGGAAACTTGAGTAATAATTTCAAATTATTTGATAGTATTACAATACAAGTTTCAAGTAAATGTTTGATAAATTTTCTTTCTTTGTCAAATTGGTGTAAAATTTTATTTCATTGTGATTTGAAATCACTTTTCTTCAACAGACACGAAAAATTTGTGTTATTAAAGTATTGCTTACAATCTTCACTATTCCACTCCTAAAGTCTTCAGTTACATTTTTAATTTGAAATTGCAGTGATGACTGACGAAATTTAGTTTGATATAAACATTGTGAATGAGTATTAAGTAGATCAAGTGTTTGGCTGTGTATTGCACCCAGAAGCAAGTTTGAAAGATGTTCTTATATATCAAGCTCTTGCTAAGTTGTGTAAACTCCTAGCAATCCACACCCGAGAGAAAAGATTAATTGGATTTGGCTTTGTGCCACTTCAGGATTGGAAGAAGGGAGATCGAGAGAGGTTAGTGTGTAGAAAAAGGTAGAGTAGAGAACACATCCCCGTAAAATCTTCCAATTTCTTGTTCTTACGCAACATTTGCTAGTAAAATGAGAAAACTTATTCCAATCTACTACTCCTAACGCCGTGCTTTGAAGAACTATATTGGGTTCTCAAGTAAAATATAAATTAAAAGGCTTCTCCTCAGGCATGTTCAGTAACGACCAGCCACCTTTGCTACGGATGCGGGGTGAATCAAGAACTTCAAAAGAAATATTCCAAGGAAGTGTGCCAAATTCCGGTATAAAGTTTCTTAATGCCACTTGCATGGCGAAATATTGTGAATTTATAAAAAGTAGTAGGCATCACATCTCGATAACAACAGTTTATCGAGATATTCAGTTATATTTAAATAACAGGAAAATTAGAACAGGCACTATTTTCGTTCAATTCAAGGTGCTAGACAATAGCCCTAAAACAGAGAGTGAAATTTTATTTTTAAAATTTTTTGCGCAATACTTGCGTTGCCCCTAAGAGCATCTAAATAAAAAACTTTTCTTTGTATCAAAACACAAACTTCAGAAAAGGCAATTCAGAGAATACTAACTTGTGTCGGGAAGAAACTACTTCTGATGACACGTCTTGAGTCATGAAAAATATCATTAATTAAATGAAGGAATTGAGATGCCCAAAACGATTTAGATGTATCCAATTATGCTATTTAGCTATATTCCGACACTTCTTTAGAAAGTGTTGACGTTTGAAAGAACACAAGGTTTAGTGATCTGACTAGTAGAACTGTAGAACTTTGAGGCAAGTGTTTTCAAAAACTGCTGAAACAGCTACCACGAAATAAAGACTATCCTGACTACGGTTACGAGCTGCAAAATAATAATAATAATAACAATAATAATAAGAGGATTTCGTACTGTTGTACCATCCACTTGACTAAAAAACAGTTTAGACTTTTTTCTGCATAAATTGAAAAATACATGGTGAGAGATTTTTTGCGTATAATGAAACAAATTATATGCTTTGATATATACTTGCGATATTTATTCTCTACTTAGAAATGTGCTAAGTTATAGCTACAATCTCTCCCAAAATACTTTGTTAATTAATTTTCTATTTTTCTTGAGTGTGAAATCTGGCAAAATTATCTATTAATCGTGATTGATTTCATACCGAATTAATTCTATGCTAATTTGACATCGATCAGTAGAGTACCTTTATTAGATTTGGAAAATCAATCAAGAATTCTTAAGATCTCAAGAGCAATCCGATGTCATTCTTCATGCATTACAAAACTGCGTATCGTATTGAATCAAAAATATAAATAAACGATTGGGCGTAGCGTACTTTTTGGGTTACTTAGTTTAATATATATGCCAAATAGCTGTAAAATATTATATACACCGAAAATCTTAAGATAAATCGACTTGCCCACCTGTATCGAAACCTCTGGAAATTCGGTCAACCGCCCCAAAAATACGGCCACGAGAGTTAACACTTCACCCACGCATTGGTCAACGCAAAGCCTTTGGCAAGCTCTAAGCCCCGCCTAACTTTAGCGCCATAAAACTTAATTTAGTTAAGTACGCAACGTAAAATCGGTATCTTCTCCGTCACTTCTGTTTATTTAATCCGACCGGCCGTACAGCATGTCCTCTTTTCATCCGAAAATACTGGGCGTCTGTTACCCGGGCGCGGCGCGAGCCGGCCATTTTAATAGCGCCTGGCTGGCCCGGTGCCGCGAACGCTTGAAAAGTGCGACACCAGGAAGGACAATCCGCGGCGCGGGTGGACGGCGGTGGCGGCGCGTGGGTGCCGGCGGGCGGCCGCCGCGGCGCGGCGCGGCGTCGCCGGCAAGTGTTCTGGAGGCGGCGCGCTGGGTCTCGCTCCGGTCCGCTCGGCGCGGAGAACAGGAGGAAGACGGATAAAGAGGAAGAGGAGTGGCGGGCGGGAGGGGCGCGCGCGCTGGTCCTGCCTTGGCCGGCGGTCAACCTAGACGGGAGACTGCTGGGGGGTGGCCGACTCGCGAGGGCAGGCGACGGCCCGACGAAGGACGCGTGCGTAGACTCTCGAAGAGTCCGCACTCCAAGAGCGTCCCGTACCCCCACCCGCGCGCCGCCCGCCCCTCGCCGAAGAGGGAGGGGCCGACCTGCCGCTTTAAGCCCTTTTGGCAGCCGCTGGAAAGTCCTAATAAAAGGAATTATTCGCGATTAAAGCCATTCCAGCTTGTTGACAAGTATGGCGTCATTTACGCATTTACTAGGCCAGATGGGAGATATTAATTTCGCCAAGAAATAAACCACTCTCGTCGCATTCCGGCCTCATCAAAATTCAAGTGCACTTGTTTTGAATCTGGAGAGGCGTCGGGAGGCGCGGCAGTCGCTCAGCGGACGTCTCGGGAAGCGGCACGCGCGCACTCCCACTGCCGGACGCCGACGCCCCCGACGCCTCCAACCGACGCCCTCACCTGCGGCCGCTCACCGCTCACCCCCAGCGAGGCGCCGCCGCCACCGCCTCTACCGCCGCGACGACCACCGCCACCACGGACGACAAGCCGTCCGCCGACGCCGCCGACGCCGCTGACGCCGCCGACGCCGCCACCGTCACTGCCGACGAAGTCGCCGCCGAAGCCGTCGCCGTCACCATGCAGGCCAGCGGGACCGCCACGGGCGCCGGCGCCAAGAAGAAGTCCAGGTTCCCGCAGTACGCGGCAGCCGTTATAGGTAAGCGACAGGTTCCTGCAGAACGCGGGCGCCGTTGTCGGTGAGCGTCTAGGTTAACCGCAGAACACGACCGCGGGTATCGGTAAGCGTCTAGGATTCCGTAGAACGCGGCCTCTGTCACCGGGAAGCGTTCAAATTCCTGTTGTACCCGACCGGTTTTTCTGTAAACGTTCAGATTCCCGTTGAACGCGCCCTCTGTTATTAGTAAGCGTCCAGATTTCCATTGTACGCGGCCGCAGTCATCGGTGAGCGTTTAGATTCCCGATGTACGCATCCTCGGTTGCCGATAAGCGTTCAGATTATCTTTGTACACGGCCTCGGTTACCGGTAAGCGTCTACGTTCCCGCAGTACGCGACCGCTGTTATCGGTAATGAGTTCCGACGTTCCGTCGGAAATGAGATAATGCAGCTCCGGGGTTGTGAGAAATTTCCATGTTTATGATAGATACTCGGTGTATGATGACGTTCCTATATGATTCCCACTGTCATTTTTTTTTTTCAAAATAACTTCCGACGAAAATAACTTTCTAAATAAGATACGTCAAGTAAAACACATATTATCTTTCATTCTTCACAGTAGATAGAATAAATAACTAAACTGCAAGCCACTAGGCTACATAACTAATTTCCAATGAGCGCAGAAATTAAAAGTAAACTTTGCTACTTCATCCCATGTGGGAGGTGTCTATGGTTTTGGTTGTTACCCAGGATTACTCTGCTTCTACTACTTAGTTTTCTTACTTCTTGAGTTGTGTTAGTTTTCGGTTTTGCTTTACCCTCTTCCATCTGCTACGCATCGGAGCCTGAGACATTGTTTTGCATCTCAATGTTTTGGTTCATAAATAGTAGAACTAAAATATTACTCTAAGAACATAATAGAAGTGTAAAATCTATCCCTCTATGTAAAGTTTCATTAAAAACTTGTAGCCAGTTTCTGAGAAAAAGTCGTTTGATCTTTTTGCGAAAATGCGTAAATCTGATCTACTTTTCAGAGAAAACTTATGAGGCATCGTTATCGGTACAAACCTCATAATAAATATTTTTATGCACTCGTTCTCACAAATTCAATATAGAATAAAAACGTTCTTTAATGTAAATATTAACATGAAAGACTTCTTAATTAAATTTAATTAATGTCATTTTTTACAAAGCAAAACAATACAAATACAAACGTACGTCAAAATAACATTGATGTAATGCTATTCAGAGCACTTAGAAATGTGTTCATAAAGATTTTAAAATTCGAAACATTTTTTTAAAAAAATTGTGTTTTAATATTACCTGCAAAATTTTAAGAAACCTTTTCAAAATTGTTGGGATTTAAATCGGGTATGATTGACCGTGGAATATTCATTTTGGTAAAAATTCTCCCGTAAGTTTATGTTCCCAATGTCGGACACAGACGGACAGACAGGGAGACGGATGGCCATCTTGAAAAAAAAACACGGTATCTATACGATTTTATTTCACGGTTTGTAGTATATTTGTCACGAACAAAAGCTTCAAAATATGATTTTTAGTCACGCCGAGTATCAGGTCTATAATTTAACTACTATATTTCAGGGCATGGCTGTACGATTTACAACGTGCATACTGCGCGTTTAAAAACGGGTATTTTTTACTTGTGTGTTTTCTAGCATCTTGAGTAATATTGGGATTTTAGTAAAAACCATTGTATGCATTAAAATTAATATATAATACTCCCAAACCGATTACTCCTAGAATATGAAATAGGACAGAGGTCTCTATTGTTTTAGTCTTAAGCTTTCCCTTTTAAAATTCTCGGAAATTAGGAATGAAAACCATTACTCTGTGGTGACTCATGGCTGCCGCGAGATTGCTTGCAAAGTGCTTGAGGATCCACGCAAAGGAGGGAAACTTCGTGAAATGGCAGGGAATTCCCGTTTCGATCTTCGAGTTTGTTCCTTTTTACATTTTCTTTCGTAGAAAAGTAGTTTTCGGCATTACTAACCAATTTTTGGACAAAAGGAAGGAAGGAAGATAATTTTTAAAAAGTGGTAATTGTTCTCTGCTACAAAAGTGGAAAGCAAATCAGAAAATGAGTAAACTATTTAAATTTTATACTGCAAATTTCATTTCATTAATGCCAATAATTATACATGTGTAATATTTATAATGTGTTACTAATTATTAGCACTGCTATTTGCTGCACTGTTAATCCGCCATCTTTTGAGTATTTTCTACAATTATTTACAAAGACATGTATTTATGGTTCAAACTAAAAAAAATCACATACTAGTTAAGTGTGGTATCTCAGGTGGTGGTTTAAAAAGCTCAATATCAAAGTAATATAAATAATTTAAGGGTTTTTAATACGGAAGCGAAAAATATATCAGCTTCTTAGCAGCAGGCCTAGATGCATAGAATAACATCTCTGTTGCCTCAACGGCGGGTCGGACGGCGGCGGTTTTCAACGAGCACACGTAGGTTATCTGATTACTGTATTTTAGAAAATTACGATACCTTCTTATTTTTGTGTGTGCGCTTCGTGCTCTAACACGAAGTAGCGAGAAGCCTACAAGTATTTTGCTAACATGGTTGTTATCTCGTCGTTGGTGGTTCCTTTAACCTGCACGTTTTTGATTCTTTATTGATTCCGAGTGTCAACTGCTAAATTGTTAGTCCTGTAAGAGTAGTGCATGTATTTTCCACGGGAGATGTCGATGTTATTGCCCCGCTGTGAGGCGTGATCCGTCGCCGGCCTAAATGTCAGCTATGAATTGAATTGAATTGAATTAATGCCTTTTTTTACGTGGCGAGACTCAGGCCATTAGGCCTGCTCTCGGGGTTTTCCTAAACCAGGTGTCTCCCAACAGCGGGGCATCATCCCAAAATTTGGCAGCTGAGATTTCGACTGGTCCCCCTACATGTTAAGTAGTATAAGGCACGTAGATGCAAGTGTGTGTGTAGAAGAAGAAGAAGATAGAACATGGAATGGGAAGGAAAGATATCGCGCGGTCCGAGGCCCATTTGTTATAGTGTGATTTTTTTAACTGTGCACCTGAGTCCAGACTTCACCTTGGCATTATCACTGCATTTCGTATCTTTCTCGGTCGTGCCGCTAGATGTCGCATGATCGCTACTGTATCAACCTATGCTTTATACTGTCGCGACTTCTAGCGCCACAACTGAGAATGACGCGAAATGCACTGACATATTGGCAATGTGAAGACAGGGCGAAGGTGCAAAATTAAAACGTCATACTATAGGGCACTGTTTCAACATTTGCCTGCTGTTGATCGGAGAAAACATGGAAAACTACCGATCAGAGCAGCTGGCCGCTAGAATTCTCCTCCAGACAGCAACTGAACTCGACCTAGATATCTAGCTAGAGTCTACAATCTTGCAGCCGTCGGAACTTCAACTCTAGAAAATCCTGGTCATAGTCACTGTAATAAAAGCAGATGCCCTGAGCCACCTAAGCCGGTTAACGGCACGTGAATTCATATTGAATCTCCACGAGGTGCTACGCCACATTATTAGAATCCGCTCACGAGAGGGGCTTGTAGATCACAGCTTCAGAAAATGTTTCTCTAGACATTGCTCCTTTTAGACTATTTTCTTCTTGAGACACTATCATTTAGGGTGAAATATATAGTTTTACAATTTTTATACCAATTTCAATGGTTGAATTTTCAGTTTTCGAAAAAGATACCAAGAACGTGCACACATCCTTGTTTAGTAACAGCATAATCTACGTCCATCCATCCGCCCGTCCGTCACTCAAGGGTAAACCACTTCCGTTCTTCCCATCTACACAAATTGTCGAAACAAAGATGTCATTCGATGCATTTTGTTCTCCTGATGGGGGACTGGTCATTTTGTTGAGAATCAATTCGAAAGATTCTAAAAAGTTCTCTAAAAAACGTGTTTTGGGGCTTTTTAAACAACAAAATGCGTTTTGGATGAGTTAACATACATTCAGAGGTGATCAATAACGTATTCAATTTCTCTGGAGCAAGACGTATTGATTGGAACAATATTTGGCGGTTTCCCATTAGGATATTCTGCAGGAATTCTATGAAAGTGTGTGTTTTTTATGGTTTCATTGCACTTCGGAGTACATTAGTAAAACGCTGAGAACTACTACATACTTTCTTACCGATATTGTAATGAATTGTTTCAACTTGATTCATAAGATTGACGACAATTAAACGTAATTTTATAATAAAACAAAAATTAAACAAGTGTATTAATTAATACTTTAATGTAACTTTAATACTTTAATGTAACACGCAAATGGACGAGGCGGGCCATAGTAACATATCTAAAATGCATTTTATTATGAACTTGGAAAGCAGAAATAAAACTTTTTAACATGAAAAACATAAATATTTCCAGGAGGGGCCTCACTAAGCTAGTGATATAATATTCTCAATACAATTCTTCATTGATGGGATAGTACAAGCTTATTCACGCAACTTTATTTCACAGTAAGATGTCGTTTCTCTCTATCAATATGATTTTATAAGTGATATATTGTATATGATCCTTTGAGGGTTGTTAACAATAAAATAATTTCAATATAAAATTTAGTGGTATTAGTGGTAGTATTTTCACATTCCATTGTTTTATACATTTCATTTAATTGCCTTTTGTTGCTCTTAATGTTAAGAATGCTCTTTTTTGTCTGCATATTTATTAATATGTCTTGAATTCCTTGGGACTGATGAAAAGCACGCCACCGTCATATTAAATTTTGATGCATTTTCATAAAAATTGTATTTCAGCATAAAATATTATTTTTTTAAATTTAAAACTCAAGTATAATAATTCATCATTTCAAAAAACAGACTCAATTGTTGTCTGTACACAATAAATATTAATTTGCGTGTTGAGGGCGGAAAATGCGAGCGAGATGTTTCCAGCCGAGGGAACGTTGGGAGCCGAGACTAGAATTTCGAACAGATAATGTAATATTTTCACCCATGTGTCTAAACTCGTTTTATTCCATACTATGCCTCATTCCCTTCTTTTTT